TCAGTAATGCCATAGTGATCATTTGATATATGGACCTGCAGCGGAGTTTAGGCCCAGACACGGCTAGTGACGTCAGACTTAACGACCGGATAGGGTGAAGGGCATAAGGTAAAAATCGTAATCTTCAGATTTAAACCGGTTACTAACAGTAATCAGTAATTTCTTAGTGCAAAAATAAACCAACACGTTCCGTGTAAGCGAACAATAAATAGACCTAGTTTTTCATTCACTGTAACTCACAGGTCATTTCTAATATACTTTTGATGATCAGAAATAAAGAGGAAACATGTTAAAGAAAAAAAATATTTCAATATTTATTTGCGGTATAAACATGTCTTGTGTTGATTCAATATACTGTACAATACATAGGGTCAATCGCATTACCTTCAGTAGACAGAAAGGTGAAACTGCCCCAGTTAACACGCCCCTTCTTTTTATACACAGACAGATTGCATCTTTTAAAAAAAACCAAAAAAACCTGTTTACAGCACAATACAAAACAGCTATTCAACGTGACTTTGAAGCTGTAACACGATGCAAGATGCATTGTCAAAAAAATCCCTGAAAATTTCCTCACTGAGGTAACATTTTTAAATCATTCACTTTTTCTTTCGCTTTGTATTTCACGCCTCGCTCCTCGCCTCCTCTCGCTCATTCACACCTTTCTCTCCAGAGCACAATTTCACCAAGATGTAGCTACAAGTTTAAGGACACAGAAACGGCCGTTCCCGTGATCTGGCAAATTTACAAACAGAGAAAAACACTTAATTTCTCTTTCATTGTTACAAAGACACACGCACGCACGCGAAAGAAAGAAAGAAAAAAAAAAATCACAAGAAAGCAGCTTGAAGTCAATTGTTTCTTTTTAAATAGAAAAGCTCTGTTCTGAAATATATTTCAATCCCAGGGTGCAAGTGATCAAGTCCTCTGTGTTTTTCCTATTGTATGTGGGATATGACTCCAGACAAGGAAAGTCCATTCAAGCATGGTGGTAGTATTCTCATCTCTGATGCTATACCAGGAGAGGAACTTTTGCATATAAACTCATATATATATAAAGTATATTCATATTGAAAGGCCACAGGAATAGCATAGAGCACATTATATCAAAACCAAGAAGGAAAAACACCTTAATCACCGTAATTATTCAAGCCAGGTTGGCGTAAGGGCCTATTATGAAACATAACTGGCATGCTGAACCACAGCTCTGTCTGTGTGGAGCAGTCTGTGTATATGTGTGTGTCTTTAAATCTGCAAGTCTTTCAGGTTTGTACTGGACACACTGGCCCTATATTTTGTACACCCCAGGAGAAATGTTACTTCAGTCCATAAGCCATAAATCGAGCTGGATCTTGTGGAATTATATAGAATAGATATAGTACAAAAAGAAGAGAATTTAAAAATGTTGAGGTCTTGGATCTACAAAATACTGCAAAAAAAGGTGTTTTGATATATTGCAGAGTAACAAAGAGGACCTCGTGTGACCCGTTACGGCAAAAAAACAGCTTGTAGCCTGTTATTACCGTGCTCTTATTCCAATAACAGATAACAAACTTTTTCTTCTTCTCTCCACACAATGTTTTTTTTTCCAAAGTGAGATACAAAGAGTATTGAACAGTCAGCATTAGAAACAAGTTAGAAAGATTATATAAGGCCAGCTAAAACCAACCCTCTTCAGATTCCCCCGCTGTGCTCGCAGAAAACCCCGTTCGTGGTTTCTGTTCAGACAAACGTCCACATCCCGACTTTGAATACTAATTTCCGCAGTTTGCTGTGAACACTGGACCTCGTGCAAAAACCGCTTGTATGAGGAGATCTCTAACTCTAACCCGACAGCGTGCTCTATCGATAGCAAACCTCAGCATCTACCACTTAGCCCTAAAGCTGGTCACATATCTCCTTGGTATTCATCTTTTCATATTCACTAGTATACGAAAAACAACCAGTTTGCAGATTGTGAGGTTTCACAACATTTCCAATTTTGTAAAATCAGACTTCTGTTCAATACATGAGCAAACTGTGAACATGACCTCCAGCTTTTTGGGGTCACTGTTTCCTAACAACAGCTGCCTCAGCATCTTTATACTGGTCCCTGTCAAGCTAAACATATCCCCTGTTACACCTGGCACAGAACACCACCTGGACTGCTTTGCTTTAGCAGGGTGTTTTTGTTTTTTTGGGAGCATACAGCTCTCTGATTACAGCTGCAAATAGCGGGTTATTTCTCTTCTTTTTTCTCAGGGATTGTAATTACGGACATTGCTATATTTGTTGTTTTTTTTGTCTGCTGATTTCCGACAGCAAGACTTTAATCTCCGCAGCGTGACCCTCTGCTAGGAACATATTTGAGCATGAAAGCTGGAACAGAAAAGTAAACTTTGGGTGTTTCAACTTTAAGGAGCAGACTTTCTGATTAACAAGTGGTGTTCACAAGGCTCAGCTGTGCAATTATAACACGTTCGCGCACTAAGAAGACGAAGAAGAAAATGTTCTTTCATGAGGCCCAGTGTACCTAGAAGTCCAATTAGCGTGGTGTTGTTTGGAGTCTTTCTCAAAAATCACCGCGGGTTTGCTGAAGCGCTACAGATGTGGACGCTGTCTCAGAAAACGCTTTGACTACATGCTGTGCGCCGCTGCGTTCAGCAGCAACAGCAGTTAAATAAAACAGTCCTCATTATTTGTCTTTCCACCTGGTAAAGCAACGTCCAGCCTGTGGTTGAGTCTACTGTTAGAGAGCATACGGCACCACAGCATGCTCTGGTATACAAAATAATAAAGATCTGTTTAATATTCATTTGTGTTTAATATAGCTTTCATATAATAATATACCCAAGGCTTAAGGGTGAATCAACTCAGACAAAGCTTTCTTTGACAAAACGAGTGATCCCTTCTTTTTTTAGTTGTTAGAAAGACCTTTCCTCTCAATTTCTTCCAACGCTGTTAAGGGACGTGAAACTGCTGAAGTAAGTGAAGTCTAGCGGAAGCCAGTCCCAGTCAACCAGACCAGAATCCAAACACAGAGACCAAGGTAAAGCCCCCCACCCTCGGTCCTGAAACACACAAGAAGCTAACATAGGCCAACAAAACTTTGGGGTGCAGGTTATACATTTGATCTGCCCAAAAAGTACCTCAGTGACCCAGAAATATTAATACTGACTTCCTGTCCCCGATCCGTAACCTCTAGTAACCCTTTTTGGCAAAACGTGCTGGTGGAACAACTGTGTTGATGAAATCAATAACTGAGGAACTTTGACCGAAACCGACTTTTTGACCGAAACGAAACAAATGATTAAAATCTTCAGAACAGCTGACTGAAACAACTGGATGAACAGTCATATAGGGGAGGAAGGAACTGGGAAATGCGCTCGAAAACAGTTGGCCAAGTGTCAAACACGCAGGAGTAATTTCTCCCATCTCCAGCCGTGAATCAATTCCTAACCCCGTGCCCTACTTCCAGCCTGCTGCTTGTTTTAACCCCTATCCCTGCTCCTCTGCTCAGGGCCCAGTTTTTGCTCCCTCCCCGCTGAGCCGTGCAGCTGTCAGGACTCGTCGCAGCCTGGGACTGACCTCTCCGCTCCTCTTCTCTGAATGTCTCTTTATCTGACTGCTTCCAGCACAGGCCAACAAAGTCAATGGCTACACCACTGTGCAAACTGCATTAGGTCATAAACCTTAAGAAAAAACAAAACTTAAAGAAAAAAACCCATCTAAAAACCCATTCCACTTTAATTTTACAATCTCTTAAGCCATTATTTATATGGCTTGAGATAAATATATTTATATATATAAGGTATAGATCTGTGCGTAAATGTACATAGAAAATATACAAAAATGCATATAGACATACTGAATTTGTTAAGGACTTTTTCTGCTATGTACGTTAACATACATACAGTACAAACATACATACTGTGTTTATATTGTGTGTGTGTGAGAGAGTTAATTCCTTGGTTTTTAAAAACTCTACATTCAGTAGAGTGAGATTTCCTATGAGTAAATCCCAGCTTTTCCACTTGGCACCAGTCACCTCGGCTCGAGAGCCGAGACAAGGAGGATGCAGTCATCTTATAAATCAAGCGCTAAAGATTTTCCGTGTTCCTATCTTTGTATTAAGCTTTCTGTCCTGCTGCAATCATTTAGTTTCTCAGTCAAGTTAAACCTCCCTTGTTCTTCGTTTACAAGCTGATAAGGGAGAACGGCTTTGTTAACCCACAGCATCCTTCTCTGGGTTGAAAACCCCCCCCCCCAAAACCCTTTAACGTGGCATCCGTGACTCCTCCTGTCACGTCAACGCTGCTCCGTGGTCAGGATCTCAGACAACGAGCCTCAAGAGGCTAAAACATTCATTAAAACTGGCTGCTCTCCTGCAGTGCAGCCACTTGCTGACATGGTAACCATACCACCATGTCCCCCACCCCAAATCCTCGTAAGTTGCAATGGGGGCGATCCACATGAAACTGAGACTCTCGTTTTCATGTGGATTCTAGGGTGTCCAGTTGAAACACGTTGTGATTGGTCGGGGTGGTGAAGAAGAGCTGGTCGTGCGTCGGCGAGTTTGAGTGGTTGTCGCAGGGGCTGTTGAGACCTAGCGTCCGCTCAAAGTCAAGGAGTTGGCCCATGAAGTTGAAGTTCGGGGAAATGTTTGACTTTTTCCGCTTCACAAAGTCGTAGGCGTCATTGAGCGACAGGTTGAGCTTCTGCATCAGGTAAGCCACGGTGACGGTGACGGAGCGGCTGATCCCGGCCAGGCAGTGGACCAGTATGCCACACTTTTTGGAGCGCGCCTCGTCTGAAGAGGAAGGAGGGAACAAAGAGATGAGAACACGAATGAGAGACATGACTACTGACCGTGTTTCATTCTCAACGCTGGGAATTAAAAAGATCAATGAATCAGAAGGAAAAGTTTCTCTCTATATATTACAACGCAGACTTTCCAAAGAGCTTGTTGCCTGAGGATGAAAAGAAGGCAAAAGAGTGAAACAAGTGTACCTCAGACAGGCTTTCACTAACTGGAGAGCTGCGGGACTTGAGAAGGTTCAAATGCTCAGCTGGCACTATTTCTACTAGATCAGCAAGTAACAAAAACCTGCCTGATACTGGGTCATACTGCAGCGGAAGTGGCCCCACAGTGCTTTAATTTGCAGAGAAACTTTTGAATAACATCACGTGGTCATAGCGAGAACTTACAAACAGTAATCTGTGGCTATCATGAAAACTGAGTTACTTTCTGAGGTACTTTTAAGTCATTAAATGACCAACATTTGCAAACGAGACTGGCTTTTATCATTTAACGCTGCCGTGACTTAACTTCTCGCATGTTCACCCTGCGGTTTTCCCCCGGTACTCTGATTTACTCCTACAGCCCAGGCACATGCATGCTAGATTATCTGGTCGGTCTAAATGAGCTGTAGATGTGAGCCTAGAACAACCAGAATGAAAAATCAGAAGTGCCTCGTTGCGATTATTATATTTTCAATCCAGAGTGACCTCTGTCACTGACGGCACAGTGTAATTTTTCATTCTGCTTTCTAGCTCTCGGTCTGTAGGAAAACCTGAACAGAAAAAGCATCTTACATTATTAACTGGTTACATCCATCCACCTATCAGTTTCGAGCCCTTGCACTCGCATCTCTACAGGCCATTAGAGTGAGAGTTAAGTGCTCCGTTCCTTCCTTTCCTTTCTTCCTCTCTCTTTTATCTCTCACTGCCAGCGTCTCTTGTTGTAGGATTGGGGTCAGTCGGCTCATGAGCTCAGGCTGCCAAGGCGATGCAAAATTAAATTTATATGTGAAGTGCGCTCACTTTCCGCAACGAAGACAGGGGCAGAAATCCTTGCCCGACGAGTCAAAAACCAACTCGAGAAGCCTCAGAAGTCGAATAAGTAACCGGCAGTTCATCTGCTTTAACTGATTACGTCACTTTACTCGTTCTTTGCATGTGCAGCAACGGAAGGATTTTCATTTATGCAAGAAACTTCAAATCCATCCCCATCTGCATTCTTGCTTTCACAAAAGAAAAAGCACGTGCAAACAATAATTTTAGGCATTTAAGGACTGCAACTTTCAGCAGCGCAGTGTGAAGTCATATCGGCATCTCCTTCACCCATAATTACCCCGTTATTTACAAAAAAAGATCCGCTGTAATCCCTGCTTATTACAGCCAGCTCCATTTAACATCAGCGTGACCCAAATCTGCCACGACCTCTGGCTCTGGCATATGTCTCACTTCCTGCCACCTACAATGAATCATTACTCTAAAGGAAAACAAAAGGGGCGGGGTGTAGAGTCGGTGGTCTGGACAATCTAAGACATACATGAAGACTTTAGCACTGATTCATCGGCGAGGGAATTCACTCATTCTCTGGAAATTAAGTGAGAAGAAATGACAGGAATGATGGGAAACACTGAAAATGGGACAAGATGAGAACTCTTCTGCGTGACCTCATTCTCAAAGAATCCATTTCCATGTTTTATTCACAGAGTTGCCTTTTCATTCTACAATTTTAAATTCCTGTTTTATCAGTCACAGTGAAATGCAGGCTTAGCAAAACCACGCTAACATCCATCTTAAACTGTTTCCAAAGAAGCTATTTATATGCACGACTTATGATTAAAATCTTGGATAAATGCAGCGAGAGTTACTAATAAAGAGCAGATATTAACGGCACTAAATGGACGAGTACTTAAATAGCACTTTTGTAACTCTGTGACTCTAATTGAGCACTTAAAGCCCTGTTTTGTTTTTTTCTTGCTTTTTCACATTCATCCATTGACATACTTTCATACAGTGCTTTGTTTTTTGGCTCTAAATGCTTTCTAGTTATTATACAATCTAATATGTGGATTTTGGACTGTGATTGACAAAACATCCCTCTTAAATATGAGACCTTGGGCCCAACCAGCACACTGATTGATAATGAATTTAACTTCTTCAGATCCCTGCCCTGACCCAAAAACACATTTGTCTAAAATAACCTGAGACAACTGCACAGCATTCTCCACTCACCTATGAAAGAAATGGCCTCAGGGAAAAACTGAGAGAGGTTTTGGCTCCAGTGATCGGAGATGGGAATCTGTTTGTACTTGAAGTCCCCTTCGTGTTCAAACATGTTGGGCAGGTTGGGCGTCACGTTCAGGATGTACTTGATATTGTACTTGCTGAGCACATCCAGGTTGGCGGAGTCTTTGGCACAGCCCAGGTAAAGGTAGGGCAGGATCTGGACGGGGAACGCTGGCTGGTTGTTGGGGAGCGGACTGCCCTCCGATTCTGTGGCGCTGCCCGGCTCGCGGTCCGATTCCCCATCTGAGCAGTCTGAGCTGATGCGGAGCCCTCCGAGACCGAGGACGGAGGCTGGTGGGGAGCTGCTGGGACAGGAGCAGTCCAAATTGGTCTCGCAGTGCTCTGGGTACTCTGACTGGAACTTGTTGAAGCCACCTGGAGCATGATGAAGACAAAGGAAAAACAAGCAAAAACAAAACATGTTAGGATAAAGCAAAGAAAGCAATTTCACTGGGAGGAGAGAAGGGGGGTTTAAAACTCTACCTTGTGCATAACCAAAGGCAGGAGGTATGAGTCATTTAACATGAGCCCGGATAAGAAGAAATTAACACTGAGTCCAAATAATCTGAGAAAAATTTGGTGCTAAAATTGGCCAAATGAAGAAAATCTCTTCACACTCTTTCTTTTTGATTACAGTTGCTGCAGATATCAGAGGCGGTATTAAATTTTGAATTGCACGTGATATTCTACGTGTGTAAAAACGCTTTTATTAGATCCACGGCATATTTTCACACACACCCGTGACAGATAAATTATAATAAGTTGGTATTTATGTCAGTTTGAGAGAGAGGGGGGAACACTGTAGACAGATGTGGCTCCATTGAGAAAAGCTGAACCCTGCGGAGAATCAGCGGCAGAGCAGGACAGTCAGCTACAACACCACACAGCTCAGCGGACTTTTTGTGAATGGCAGCTCGAGGCTCGTGACTCCCGTCAAAGATTTCTATTATCTCGTGGTTAAATATCTCTCTGCTATGGTTATAACACCTCATTTTATCGCCTTTGAACTGTCTTTTTTTTTTTTTTTTTTTTTTAAAAACAATGTCGGCTTTTTTCTGTGGGATTATTCGTAGCCCGTCGTCGTGTCCTGGTTTCAGTGTTCATTCATGAAAAAAACCCGCTCGTCTTTTCCTGAAGGAGCTCAATATGGCGGGGCCGTACTTGCAGCGTTTAATTGAAAACACGCCGCATTTGAAACGGCTTCTTCTTTCCTTTTTTTTTTAAAGCACTCGATCAAATTACGAGGCTTTGTTGACGCTTTTCTTTTTCCTAAATAATTTCCACGCTTTGCGAATCAATCAATCATTAAGTAAAAATAAAAGCGATCATTTTGGTCGGAAGCAGGAAACATCTGTCGAACAGCTACTTCATTCTGACACTGGATCCGATTTGTTACACACCGCCGGATTTTGTAACAGTGACACTTTATTTTAATATGCGGAACTCATTCAGTGTTGATCAACTGTGTGTGTGTGTGAGTGTGTGTGTGTGTGTGTGGACAGATGAGAACAGCTGGATTTATCTGAAGTGGCGCCACATTTTAACCCCCCTTCAAATCCTCCCTACAAACACTTTATCGATGCAATAATGTTTTATAAGCTACTGATAGGAGTGGCTTGTTCAAGCTTAGCTATGTGACTCCACCAGATAAAATCTGCCTTAACAGACAATCTGTTCCAGGCGTGCCACAACCCCCCAAAACACCAAATTCACTTAGTGTGGCGTTTAAGTGCAACATCCCAGGTCTGATAAATCAGTGTGATTTACACTCGCTTTCTTTCCCATTAACTGTAGTGAGTGACACTACCACAACACTCGTCCAGTTCATCTGGGATTGTCTAAGTTAATCAAATCAAATTCAAGCAATTTGCTGCAGTCCACTTTGAGAGGAAATGTGTTAGAGTTTTATGAATTAAAAGGCACCACAACACAAACAAAACCTCTAGATTCAAAGCAATCTGATCTTACCCTCTAGATAAAAAGCCTTGCACCCGTCGTCCCGGAGCTTCTGCAGGAGCAGCCCAAGCACGGAGCTTCCCAGCCCGGACTCCTGCCGCTCCGAGGTCGCCTCGTCGTACAGCACCACCACGTCCGTCTTGCACCTCTTTACAAATTTCTCCTTGTCCTCGTTGTTGGGGATGATGGAGCGAATGGGGAGGTTCCCCTTTTTCAGCCTCCGGAGCATAAGGCCCGGGATGGCCAGGTTGATGGCCGACTCGATGTGCGAGGACTCGTACAGCTCATGGGGTCTGCAGTCCAGCAACAGCAGAGAGCTGGCCCCGGACTCCAGCTCCTCCTGCAGCCACTCCACGCTCTTACTCGACATCATCGTCATAGTCACGATCACAGAGCATCCCCACGAGTGATTAATTCTCATCAGTGAAACGTTAATCCTCCCGTCGCCTGCTGTGACATGAGAACAACACAACAGAACAGAGGAAAGGAAAAGAAAAAAAAAAAGAAAAAAATCACGGCGCTAAACTTCCCTTCCCGCGGCCACCACCACCAACGCCACCGCTGCTCCTGCCGCTGTTCCTGAGGGCGCAACGCACCCAACACACACTTCCACACGCGCGCACACACATCCAACACACACGCAGCGATGCCCCTCCGGTGGGAGCAGGAAACTTGAACATGCAGAGGTTTCTTTCCCTCCTTCCTTCAGTCCGATTGAAGCGGAGATTTGACTCCAGTCCATCGACCGTCCATTCGGTGAGCTCGCTCCAACTTTGACGCGTCCGCAGAGCGACGAAACGGCCCAAATGAGCCTCGTTACTCTCTCGGGATGTGAGAGCCGGATGAGCCGATGATGCTAAAGCCCATGCTTATTGTTATTACTGGACATGCTTGGCCCGTGGAGCGCCTCTGGTTTGTCATTTCCACTGGATGCGTTAAAGAGGCTCTGCGGGCTTGTCACTGAGGAGAGGGAGGAGCGCACAGATTTAAAGGCGCAGCGCTGCTTTAGAGTCACAGGAGCACAGTGTAGCTTCACAACATACTATCCATTCATTGATTCTCTGTAGCTTATACTCTGAATTAATAAAAAAAAAGGCCGACCAAATTCTACAAATTAAAGTCCCACGTCCTCCAACGCTCGTGGACATCTATATCCTTTGAGTCTGTTAAAATCTGAGTCTTTTTTGTGTGTTTAATTTTGCTTTTTAAGAGTTCAGTTGTAAAAGCAACTTTTAAAAACACTTCCTTGTGGAACCATGAATGATGTTTTAGGGATTAAAAGTTTATTCCCGAGTCATTCCCCTTGTTTTTTGCTTTTTTCAGCCTCTACTTTCTCATCCCAAAGGACCTTGTGTCGAGATTATTTTATAGTTTTAACACCCAGTGAAGGTTCAGCCCTTTAAGCAAACATGTGCTCAAAGTTAACTTGTAACTATTGGTGTAAGTGTTGTAAGGTATCAACTTTATTAGGGACACTTCACATTTGTAGCTGTGCTTCCTTAAACTTTAATCTTATGATGCCTGCCGTCATAGACCGGTAATAAACACAGTGCCGGATGTTCATATTTTAGAGCTTTGTAAAGATAATCTCTGTGGCAAGCCTGTATCACGGAAGTGCGGAAGATTCCTCACAGATAGTTTCTAATTATCACAGCCTCATCCAAAAGCAATACATCTAAAATACAATGTTGTGTTCAGTAAACCAGCAGAAATGTAATAAAAATGGAGTTATAAGTTGTGGCCAGTTATACCAAGTCTTTAGTTTGTTTGTGTGAAATGACGGCTCTGCGTGTACCCATAACTCAGTGATTTAAGTTCTCGGGTCCTTATCCTGTTCATTTAATAATCTGAAGGCAGATTTTAATAAATCATCAGGTGTCAGACCTATGGACCTCGTGCCCAAGCAGTAACTCTTGTCCTACCATCAGTTTTCCTTTAGTCTCCACAACACATTAACCCACTCACTCTGTGCACCTACACAGGTTTGGTTATGATATTACTGGACACAACAGAAAGTTGACTTCACTTACTAATACTGAGATTTTTTTTCCAGGTTGGCTTTATAGTTTCTAAGACATATCACAAAATCATATTTGACATCACAAACCAGTACCAGTGTGGTGGTTTGTGGCCGAAGACATGTGTGTTAAGTTAACTACCTGTAAGTGTGAATAATTGTCCAGCCTTTAGACCATAAACCTACAATGATTACAGCCAAATACCCACAGCTTATGGTAACAATTTCATGTTACCGATCTGAAGTTTTTTCTTTATGTTACTGATTTTTTAAATTTTGATTTAGCTCTTTTTACTGACTTAAAGCATTGTACAACTTTCAGAGGATGTTTTTTTATCTTCTGTGTTAAGCAAATTGAGTGTTACGTAACTATTAAACAAAAACTATCTGCATACACATCTGCATATCGAAGCAAAGCAGAGTACGTCTGTAATGTCTAATTAGCCCAATTTCATTAAAAAGGTAATAAAAAAAAAGATTTATCATAAGATCGGAACACTGGGTTGCGTCTCACTGCATGTTTGCATCATGGCTTCAAATGGAGAAAAACTGTCGGAGGAATTTAAAAACATATCTTACGTTAAGATTTCACAAAGATGGGAAAGAATACAGAGGGATGTGTGGCCACCTTCAGACCAGTGGTACTAATGAGGAGGTATAAAATGAGGATGATATCACCAATGGAAGCTGTAGAGACTATCCTCCGAAAATCACACCATGGAGAATTTGACCAATCTGGCTGTGAAAAACAGATGAGTACGAGCACAGAGGTTATTCAAGGAAATCAGTTTCTGTAACTGCTCAGAGAGGGACAGTCATCGTCTGTGAATGGTCTCCAAGAAAAGAAAAATCGAAAAAATTTCTTCCTCTTTGACACAAACCCCCCAAAACTAAAGGTCGCTAAAGAACATGAATAATGGAGGCACATTCTTTGGCCTGACACTGAAGCACGTAGATGGGAGTGCAACGATACACAGCTGTATGAGTTTAAAAGGTGTTGGGGAGATGGCACAGCTCTGTTGCTTTACAGCAAGTGAGTCCTGGGTTTGAATAGCGGCAGAATAACCGCTGCAGCTTTTCCTGCCATCACAAACGTGCCAGTTTAAATCCAAACGCCTTTGGATTTACCAAAACACCAACTAACAGACTGCTCCCAGTCTCCAGAGGCCTGGTACCAGTAAAACTGAAATTCACGTATAATGTAATGGACTCTTTATTGATCCTTGTGGGGAAATTCCTTTCTGCATTTAACCCAGTCACTCAGTGAAGCAGTGGTACCATGCTCAGGGGTA